CATGAAAGTGCCCTTACGCATGCGAAAGTTTCGCAGCCACTGGGAATCGTCCCACACCTGCAGCACGATGCGGTCCCACCAGTCTGTGCTTGTTTCCTGGGCCCAGAATCAGTGTTCCACGGCATGAACCTGCCCCAGTAACACCATGATTTCCACACTGCTGGGGCCTGTGCCTTGTGAGAGGTCTATGTCCATGTCAATTTCCTCATCACTCTCGTTGCCGCGCTGCAATCGCCTCCTCGGCTGGTCCTGGTTTTGCTTTGGCATGTTCTGGCTCTGCATATACTCCAGGACAATGCGCGTGGTGTTCATAGTGCTCATAATTGCAGCGGTGATCTGAGCGGGCTCCATGATCCCAGTGCTAGCTATGGCGTCTGGTCTGAAAAAAGGCGCGAAACTAGTATCTGACGGACCAGGGGAGGGAGGGAGGGAGGGGCGAGTGACGACATGGCGTACAGGTACCGGGAATTAAAATCAACAAAGGTGGCTGTGCATCAGGGAGAAACACAAACAACTGTCACACAGAATGGCCCCCCCCAAAGATTGAACTCAAAAGCCTCGGTTTAGCAGGCCGTTGATTTGACGGAGGGAGGGGGAAGCAAATGAATACAGAACAAATCTATTTTTTACATCTTAAGCTGGCAGACGACGGTGCAGCATGACTGATAGCCCTCGGCATCTTCTGGGTGCTTAGCAGCAAATACTGGGCGCTTGGCAGTTAGTGTACCAAGACTGATAGCCACTGCAGTACGACGACGATGGATACCAGTCGTAATATACTATCTACTGCCAAAAGGCAAGGGGCTGCTGCTGTGTAGCAATGCAGCCCCATGTCTGCTGGCACCCAGATGACATATGGTGACGGTGAGCTGAGCTGAGCGGGCTCCATGCTTGCCGTGGTATGTTGTCTGCACAGGTAACCCAGGTAAAAAGGCGCGAATCTATTGTCTGCCGTTGCTCTGACGGAGGGGGAGGGGCCTGATGACATGTACCCAGAACCCCCCGCGACACTGTTTTGCATCATTCGGGCATTGGGATCTCAACCCAGAATTCCAATGGGCGGCGGAGACTGTGGGAACTGTGGGATAGCTACCCATAGTGCAATGCTCTGGAAGTCGACGCCAGCCTTGGTACTGTGGACGCGGTCCGCTGACTACAGCACTTAGAGCATTTTATGTGGGGACACACACAATCGGCTGTATACAACCGATTTCTATAAAACCGGCTTCTATTAATTTGACCTAATTTCGTAGTGTAGACATACCCTTACTGCAGGAAACGTCATCCACAGGGTGCAGTAGATCCCATTCTTACCACCAACTGGCATGGAGTGTGGGGGAGTCAGGGCCCTGCACCCTCCACTTCCTTCAATTCACTGTGACTCTCAGCCAGACAGTAAAACAGAAGATTTATTAGATGACAGGAACACAGTCCAAAACAGAGCTTGTAGGTACAGAAAACAGGACACCTCAGTCAGGTCCACCTTGGAGCGTGGAGAGCCCAGACCCAGGTTCTCGGCCTCCCTGCATCTCCCCAGCCAGCTCCAAACTGAACCTCCCTTCAGCCCCTCCCCTCTGGCCATTGCCTCTTTCCCAGGCAAGGAGGCCACCTGACCTCTTTGTTCTCCAATACCTTCAGTTGGCACCTTGCAGGGGAGGGGCCCAGGCTATCAATTGCCAGGAGACAGGGTGTCAGCCATTCTCTGTGCAGACCCCTGCACACCCCTGCCCTCTAGGGCTCTGCAACAATCACACACCCTTATCCCATCACCCAGGTACTTAAGAAATGCATAGGGGAAACTGAGGCACCCACACAGTATTCAAAGAAAACTAAGAACGTTCCGACTTCGTCACACCTGTCACTCTAGAGCAGGGGTTGGCAAACTTTTTGGGCTGAGGGCCACATCTGGGTGGGGAAATTGTATGGAGGGCCAGGGCAGGGGGTTGGGGTGTGGGGGGGTGTGCAGTGTGCAGGAAGGGGCTCAGGGAAGGGGGTTGGGGTGAAGGAGGGGTGCGGGGTGTATGAGGGGGCTCAGGGCAGGGAGTTGGAGTGCATGGGGGTACAGCAGGGGGATCAGGGCAGGGAGTTGGGGTGCAGGAGGGGTGTGAGGTGCAGGCAGGGGGCTCAAGGCAGGGGGTTGGGGTGAAGGAGGGGTGTGAGGTGCAGGCAGGGGGCTTAGGGCAGGGAGTTGCGGGGCAGGGCGCAGGAGGGGTTTGGGCTCCAGCCTGGTGACGCTTACCTAAAGCGGCTCTGGGGTGGCAGCAGTGCACACTGGGCCAGGGCAGGCTCCCTGCCTGCCTGCCCTGGCCCCACACCACGCTGCTCTGGAAAGCGGCTGGAACCACGTCCCTGTGCAGCCCCTGGGGAAGGGGGGAGCACAGGGCTCCGCGTGCGTTGCCCTTGCCATGCCTCCAGGTCCCTCCCCTGAAGCTTCCACTGGCCGCGGTTCCCCATTCCCGGACAATGGGAGCTGCAGGGGGTGGTGCCTGGAGGCAAAGGAAACGTACGGAGCCCTCTGCTCCCCACCCCAGGGACATGGTGCCGACCGCTTCTGAGAGCGGTGCAGGGCCTACGGCACCACAGGGTGCAATCCCGTGGGCTGGATCCAAAGCCCTGATGGGCCGGATCCGGCCCACGGGCTGTAGTTTGCCCACCCCTGCTCTGGAGTGTGGGCACAATTTCTGCTGAGCCTATATCAGCCAGTGCTGGGAGGGATCCGATACAGCCGCCTCCTGCCCTCAGTGCAAAGAAACTGTGCAAAAGAGAAACCTCAGGCCCATCAGGCATCTGGCAAATGTAGAAATAGCCAAAGGGCAGAGTTTCCAGGCAACGAAAGGAGCAGAAGGGGATGGGGTGTGTGGGGAGCACTAGGAGGCTCAAACTGTTCTGTGAAGAGGCTCAAACCCCCATCTGTGTGGTGTGTGACAGATCCCAGGCGCACAGAGCTCACATGGTGGTTCCTATAGAGGAAGCTGCCCAGGAGTACAAGGTAGGGAATTGCTGTCAAATTGAATGGGTAATAACTTTGGATTTTAGGTACAAGGTTCATTTCAGTGGAAGTTGCCTGTTACACGTGTATCTGCATCATTCAGCTCTCCAAAGCCTTCATTGTGTGGGAGATACAGTACTACTGAAAAATAAATGATCTGGCAGAATGGCAAGAAGGGCAAAAAATAGTCTCTAAAGATACCTGACATGAAGGACTTATCTGAGAAGCTGAATCCTTGTCAAACCCAGCTTCCACTGGTGAAAAAGGGAACTTTTTTACCATAGGTGCCGACCACATGGGTCCTGTTGGCAGGCCCTGCTGATCAGTGCCTCCCCCTGCCTCCCGAGCTCAGCTGTGGAGGCTTTGGCAGGAGAGGAGGAGGAGTAAGGAGTGGTGCCCTCAGGGGACAGGGCAGAATGGTGGGAGTAGAGTTGGGGTGGGGCCTTGGGGAAAGGGGTGGAGTAGGGGCAGGGCGAGCCCCTCTCCCTCGACCCACACATTGGAAAGTTGGCACCTGTGCTTTTTACAGAACTGAAGCTGTTAAATGATCAGTGAGGCTTGAATCACATGAGCTGCAGGTCAATCTATGTGAGAGTGCTGCCTTCAGGCTGGAGATGGGGAAGTTACAAGCTGTTGATGTTACTGATTTGTATCATAGAACTTATTAGTTTTATTTGGATCACAGCAGCCCCCACATCCACCAAATGAGATCTGAGCTCCGCATAAAACACAATGAGGGACAATGTCCACCTTGAGCAGGTTGCAGATGAAGTAGACAAGACAAACAAGGGGGGGAAGGAAACTGAGGCACAGAGAGGATAGTGACTTGTCCAAGGTCATGCAGCAGGTCAGTGCCAAAACTAGGAATACAACCAAGATATCCGAAGGCCCAGTTCAGTGCCTGAACCGCTAGACCAGACTGCCACCCCCACAGCAGCACTGAACAGTGATGAAGTGTGGCCATTAGGAAGGAAAGATTCCTTGATAAACACCCCAGGCCCAGCAGGGAGATGAGGTTTCTCACTGGGATTCTGAATTCCCTTTTTGGTCCATGAAGGATTAAACTCAGATGCCGGCCTGCACTAGAGGAGGTCACTGTGCTAAATGCTGCATGGACCCTGAGCACCTTGAATCCACACACAAAAGGGCTCCAGACAGCTCAGCTCCATGCCAAATACCACTGGGATTACACTGGATTGCAGCAAAACTAACCCCTGGGCGGTGCTGACCTGGGTCAGTCTGACCTGTTCTGTGGTGTACCTGGGCAAGGACCAGCCTCAGCATTTTTCTAGCCCTCACTTTTGATCCCTGTTTAGTTTCCTGTGTCTCTTCCACTCTCCTCTCCTCCCTCCCACAGATCATCACCCATGGCTGCTCCAGTCTTTCCCCTGATCTTATCCCTTCCCCTCTTGCTGCCCCAGTGAGTTCTAACCCCACAGATCTACACAAAATGCTCCCTGGAGCTTCCAGCTGCTCCCCAACCCCCCAAACCCTGATTGATTAATTTTGTGTCCCTGCCCGGCCTGTGCCTCTGCCTTAGTGCTAGCCCCTGCACAGCCCCCAGGGAGGTGGGGGGGGGGAGGAGCTTCCACAGGTCATAGAGATGAGGAGCCAGGGGCTGGGTAGATGAGAGTCCTCCAAGATCATAGAGACTGGGTTCATGAAGCCAGAGAGGCTGATTTCCGGTTCCCCTCTCTGCTGCGTGTCTCAGGGATGCAGTCGGAGCCAGGTGTCTGTGTCCCACACCCAGAACCAGGGTCGGATTCTCTCCCCAGGGACGGAGCCCGGCGGGAAAGTGAAGATTGGGGCCTCGTCACCAGCATCGATAAATGTCACCTGCCCCCGGTCACAGTCCAGACAAACCCGGATCCTGCTGGGGACCCGGCGCCGGGGCAGGGGGGTCTCAGGGGAGGTGAGAGCCTGGAACTGACCCCACCCCCACCGCTCCACAGCCCAGATCCCCCCCTCAGGGCTACGACTGATCCATCCCTTCCTCCTCACAGATTCTCTGGCCACCCCCACAGCCCAGTATTGCCCAGCCCCCACCTCCACCTCCCAGCAATGTCTCCCCGAGGTGAATCCCTCACAGCCCAGCACATAGCGCTCAGTGTCAAATCTCTCAGGGTTGTTCGGCAGTCGCTGCCATGTGTCTCCCCATCTCACACTTTTCCGATCTTCAGACAGGACGAGTTCGGGATGAGCCGTGTCTGGATCCAGAGTCACAGTCACTGGGGGTGGGGGAAGAGAATCAGAGCGTTAGGGGCAAATCGCAGCCCTGGGGGAGGGTTTGATCGGGCTAGTGACAGAATCTGCCACAGCTGGAGAGTGATTCAGGGAATCTCCTTCCTCCAGGATGTACCCAGCTCTGATGGGGAGCAGCTTTGAGATGTCAGCACAGTGCAGGGGAGAGTCACTCTTGAGGTAGGTGACAGAGCAAGAAGATTTGCTGAGCCGAGACTCTGAATGTTTTTCATCCTGCTCTTTCCATGATGGGGACTAGAGACCCTGGAGTCATAGGGAAGCCCCAGTAGATTTCCACTCACGTCATTCACATGGTCACAATTATTTTTTCCCTGATGTGCCCTCGCTCACTTCATTTTAAAACCTTGGAGCTTGGCTCTCTCGTTGATGCCAGCATGATGTCTGCTCCATCCTGCCACATATCTGAACTCTGTAGATATTGACAAGATTCAATACATCCCTAACTAAAATTCTGTAGCTAGTCATCAGGGCCAGCCAAAGAAAATTATCAGTCCAGAGTTCAGTTTTTAAAATTGAGATTTTGATTTAGAAGCAAGGAGCTTCTACAAGAGAAGGAAATTAGGAGTGGAGAGAGGAGAAAGAGCATTTGGAAATTAATTCATGAAGGAGAAGGTGGAAAGGATGGTTAAAAACAGCAGAAAGTTGGGAGTTGGTGGAGAGAGGAAAAAGGAGAGAAGAGAAAAGACGCAGAATTTGAAATCTGTCTCCTTGGTTTGAACTCTGGGGACTGGTCACTCTTGTTCCTCTACCTGACACTAGGGCTGGGATCCTAACGGACAATATCTGCTCAGTCACTTGGAGCAGAATTATAGGAGAAATGTGTAAGGAGGGCATGTTGTGGTAGTCCTTTCCTCTCCCTCCTTTGAACCTCAGGACTCTGTCTTTTCTGAACAGGGACAATATTATATTACACTTTCCTTCTTGTTTTTTGTGCAGTGAAAGGGAGCAGGATCTCCCATTGATTAAATAGTTGTAATTACCTATATCGCTTAGAGATCTCCTCCACTCTGAAAGCAAACACAGATGGGGATGAGAATTAAGCCAGACAAATTCAGCATCAATAGGATTCATTATCACAGAAAAGGCTGCATCAGAGAGAGAAACAAACAAAAAAATGCCCTTACCTAGGTCTACTTGAAGTTTACCTAAATAATAAACAAAAATAAAAGGACATCCTGTAAAAGCTTCTCCTGGGTGAAATTAACCGCCTGCCCCCCAATCATTGATAAATTGGCCTGTCTACTGTGCATTGTTTTACATCAGAACAATCCTAGGGATTGGACACAGGATCAGTCACACCAGTGCAAGTCACTTTTTACACTGGTGCAGCTCTATAAAGGAAGGCAGCCCAAAACTCTCTCAGTGGCCTTTATGCCAGCCTTGAGCTGGGTGAAAGGTCACACTTATAACTCACATGCCTCACCTACGTGCCAGGACTGTGGGCACTCAGTGCACAGAATCCTGACCCGGGTAACCACATCCTCACTTCAATCCTGGGCTGTCACCAGCCCCTCTCAGACGTTCTTTTTATGGAGCTGGCATGGAGCCATTTCTGCCATGGGCATCAAGTGCACAGTCCCCCTCGGTCACCCACTCCATGCTGCCTCCTGAAGACACATGTACAATACTGGCTTCCGACCCATTACCGATATAACAAGATATGCAATTAGTATTACTTATGATTTTCAAGTTGACATTGTCACATTCATTCAAAAATCTTTCAGAGCATATCATTGGTTGTACCAGGAGAAAATGGAACTTACTGATAGTGTCGAGATGTTTCCTTAAAAAAGAAAATATAAATAATGTAGGGACTTTTTCAGTGACTCTAAATTTAAAAGGATCTTTTCATTATGAGTCCTTGTGTAATAATAATGACGCTGTTCTACCAAGCCATTGAAGCTCTCCAGGGACTTGCAGGTTGGGTGCCCAGTGGAGGAGAAATCTGTGACACAGAGTTTGGGTACTTTCTAAGTGTAATTTGATTTATTTACACACATAGACCTGTCCTAGAACATAGATGGTCACAAACAGCACACAGACAATCCTTTCTTTCAAGAACTTCACCTAGCACCAGGACTTGGTTCCCAGGGAATGCCAAGAATTGATGCCAGTTGACTAATAAATCCTACTCTGTTTTGAAAAGGCTGTTTCGTGTCATTGCAAAAACTTGCTGTGACACGTAAGTCCCTGAAGAGCATACAAGCCTCTGTTCAGGAGTCTGACTAAGTCAGGGGTGGCCAACCTGTGGCTCCGGAGCCACATGCGGCTCTTCAGAAGTTAATATGCAGCTCCTTGTATAGGCACCGACTCCGGAGCTGGAGCTATAGGTGCCAACTTTCCGATGTGCCGGGGGGTGCTCACTGTTCAACCCCTGGCACTGCCACAGGCCCTGCCCCCACTCCACCTCTTCCCGCCCCCTCCCCTGAGCCTGCCATGTCCTCCCTCCTCCCTCTCCCCCCGCCCCCAGAGCCTCCTGCATGCCAAGAAACAGCTGATTGGGAGGTATGGGGAGGGAGGAGGAGGCACTGATCGGCAGGGCTGCCAGTGGGCAGGAGGTGCTGGGAGCGGGGAGCTGCTGACGTATGATTGTGGCTCTTTGGCAATGTACATTGGTAAATTCTGGCTTCTTCTCAGGCTCAGGTTGGCCACCCCTGGTCTAAGTGTAGACTAGCTGGGGAGAGCTCTTGGTGTGAAACCCCGAGTGCTGGAGCCCAGACACTCAGTTAAGGAGATTATGAGGCAGTGAGGTCTACTCTGAAGGAAGATGAGATCCTTTGGATGTGTGGCAGACTGAAGGGGTTCCTCCAAGAGACTGTTTAAGAGCTGGAGTGTGGATCCATGACATTTGGTTCCTAGAGAATCTCAAGAATTGATACCTCA